GGGGTGGGGCCTGAGCCGAGGTGGAGGGGTGGGGCCTGGGTTCTTCTGGCTGCTCTTTCTCAGCTCGCTTTGGGTGGTGTAACAACAGAAAAGCTTTCTTGAGAACTCTGCTCCATAGCTTTTTTCTAATTCCTTAAAACCAAGAAGAAAAAAGAATCACCTAGAACTCAACTTTTTTTTCCTACTTCCTAACAAAAGCTTGGCAGTGCGTTCGCTGAGTCAAAGCAGAGGCTCTGGGAAGAGATGGGTATATTGTAAACATTGACTTAGTTTTTAAAATGAAACTTAATTAGAAGGGGTGACTTTGCTCTTTCTCTCTACCCTTAAGCTGTAGAGAGCTTTACAATGTCAGGTAGAGGTCACAATTATTTGTGGTAGTGCATTTAGGGAGAGCAATAGCCTAAAATGGGGTGGGGTGGGGGGGGGAAATGAAATTTTGCTTTTAAAGATTAGCCTTATACAGAAAAAGGAAGCTCATATAAAGTTATGTACCTAAAGGTAATTATCTAAAGTTTACAAACAGGTCATTCAAGTAACCTGTTTGGCCTTCATTTTGATGCATTATTCACTGGGGGAGGAGGGGGGTGTGTGTGGTGTGAAAAAATATATATAATGAAACATTTGCCGATTCAGCAATTTTTATATGCATACGTCAGTGACATCGGTTACATTCATCATGTTGTGTAACCATCCCCACTGTCCTCTTTCCATATTATGCAATATTCCTCTGGAAGAATTAGAATCATTTTTTTTTTATCAATTCCCAAGCACTTAGTTGACCCTGGAGGGCATGTCACCTCCCATACTCCATTTCTTGTTGTTTCAGGTTTTATACTCCCAAGTACTCATAAGTTGGTATTGAATTTTTTTTTACTGGCTTATGAAAAAAGTTCCCCTTGGCTGTGCAGAAAACATACTCAAATCCTGTGGTTTCTTGGATCCAGGAGTCAGAAAATGACCCATTATAAATAATCCTTACTTGATGTTAGTCTATGAAGGTCTGACCCATGATGACACATGTTTGCTCACCCTCCCTAAAGTAAGAATGGTGCTGAGATGTCACCCTTTGCCTTTGGGTACTAGGCTAGTTCTGGCAACTGCCCCAGGGTCTTTCCACTGAGACAATGTCTTTGCCACAGGAAATCCCCAGCAGCCCTTTCCGAGTCAAAGTTGACCCATCCCATGATGCCAGCAAAGTGAAGGCAGAAGGCCCAGGGCTCAGCAAGGCAGGTAAGATGACTGTGCTGTTGGCCTTTTGTGGGATCTGGTGGTGGTGTGACTGTCCCAGGCCTTTGGTGGCCTCCTCTGTCCTGAAGCAAGGAGTCCTGTTGGGCTCACATGGTGGCCTGAGCCATTGGCCAGCTGAGCTATTTGTAGGCTGCGAGGCAGAGCCAGCCCTGGATTGAACCTGTCCAACTGGTTCTAAAAGGGAAACCACTCTGGTCGACCTTTCTCCTCACTTCACGTTATGTCCTTCCAGGTGTGGAAAATGGGAAGCCAACCCACTTCACTGTCTACACCAAAGGGGCTGGCAAAGCGCCGCTCAACGTGCAGTTCAGCAGCCCCCTTCCTGGTGATGCAGTGAAGGACTTGGATATCATCGATAATTATGACTACTCCCACACTGTTAAATACACCCCCATTCATCAGGTAGGCTATCCTGAGCCCCCCTTCTGCTGGTTCCCTGCCAGGCACCTTTCCGCTCACCTGGGACACTGGTGTAGTTCATGCCCATTGAAGGTGCTTCATCCACTGCTGGAGATGGCCCTTCAGGCTCTTGTTCTGAGCTTCTCTGGGAACACTGACCGGGAGACTGGTTATGTCAGGAGGCCTGCAGCATGCGAGAGGCTGCCAAAGAAGAGGCGGAGGCCAGGCCAAGTTCCCTGCTCCATTTGGAGTTTTATCACAGAAATGCTGCGAATTTTTCCGCGTCAGATGGGTAGTGTGCCTCTGTCATAACAAGGTTTAAAGGGTGGCACATGTCATACAGTAGTATGAACTCCCGGTCATCATGCTTATGAACTGGAACAGGATCTTCACAACCTCTCTTACACACACCTACAGCTGAACTCCTTTAATCTTTTCTCACTTCCTTGTGGAGAAAGGACAGGTTGTCCTTACTGACCACTTTAGCTTAGTCACCCTTTTACATACAGAGTGTTGTGATGGGATCTTTTATCAAAGAGCCAGTTGAGCCATTAGTCCCTGAGGCCCAAAACACTATTTCAAGCAGCAAATTGTTACTCAATTTTTTATGTGTGTACCATCAAATCAGATCCGACTGGTACAGGAGGCAATTGTTTCTCCTTCTTCAGCAGAGCATCTGGTGGATTCAAACCATGCACCTCTGGGATTGCAGTGCAGCTTCTTGCCACTAATCCACCAGAGCTCGCTGAGAGATGCCATTTGTAGGAGAATGGTGATAGCTTTCAGCAGAAATGCTACTCAGGCGGTGGTGTGAGAGATTCCTCTCAGGGAAGGGTTACTGAGAGAAGGGCAGAGAGGCATGTGAGCGCGGTGGGAGAGTGGGTAGCTAGCTGTCTCACCTTAACTGGGAAGGCCAGTCCTTGGTGATCACATGCTGACTCAGGACTCCCCCAGCCATGGAGTTGTTGGGGATGATTGTTTTATCATACATTCAGATCTATTCTCTTCTCACCAGACTTGCTGCCTTTTCTGCTTTTTTTTTTTTGCTAACAGTAATACTTTTGCCATTTGACCATCCTTTTCTCATCAGGCAGTGCAGTGGTTAAGTGGGTTCTCATCTGTCTTCCTGTCCGAAGGCCTGGTGGGAGCCTCAGTACTACTGAGGGCATTGACTTGCTGTTATCTTTGTTGTGTAATCAGACATTTTTGTGCAAATGCCAATCCTCTGCATTCCTTAGGAGAAGATACCAGAAAGCCAGGGCTCTGTCACTGATCCCAATCACAAGGTCATAGAATCTCCTAAAAACATTTCACAGCATTTGATTTATCCTAAGCCTCCATACAGCTCCTGCCTCCCTCTTTCTACTGTGATATAAGTAGTGCAGGCAGCATTGCATGTTGAGCTGCAAGCCCAAAGGTTGATGGTTCAAATCTACCAGCAGCTTCTTGGTAGAAACATCTTACAGCCTTTGAAACCTGATGGTGGGCTGCTCTGAGTCAAAATTGACTCAACAGCATTGAATTTGGTTTGTTTTATAGCATGTATGTAACATTCCATTTCAATATTCATCACATGTGCAATTTAGCAACACTGGTTATGCTTATTAGAATACTTTGCTTTGTCCTCCCGAGCTGCCCTTTGAAATTGTCTGTTCAGCTCTTTCCCTTCAACATGTTTTCCTTTAGATTTGGCTTCTCGATTTTCCAGTGTAATATTTAGAGTCTCTTTTAAAATCAATTTCCATTTTTTTCTTCACTGTTTTTGTAATGACCTGCTTTCTTTCTGGGTGATATTCTTGATATCATCCCACAACTCATCTGGTCTTCTATCATTGGTGTTCGGTACCTCAGACCTATTTGTAAGAGGATCATGAATTCAGATGGAATTTATGCAAGATCATACCTTGGTTCCTGCAGACTTATTTTAATTTTTTTTCGCCCTCAATTTGAACTTGTGATGATCTGACTCACAGTTTGCCCCAGGCCTAGTTTTGACCGTTGATACTGAGCTTCTCCAACAATTTCTTCCATAAATGTAGTCAGTTTGATTCCTATGCAGCCTTTCAAGTGAAATCCATGTGTAAAATCATGACAAGTTGTGGGTAACATTGAGAAGAATGGGAATCCCTGAGTGCTTGATGCTCAAGCGGAATCTCTACCTGGATCAGGAGGCTGTTGTGTGAGCGGAACAGGGGAGCACTACATGGCTTAGAATTGGGAAGGGAGTGCGTCAGGGTTGTATTCTTTCTCTATACCTGCTCAGTCTATATGCTGGGCAAATTATCCGAGAAGCTGGACTCTTTGAGGAGGAATGTGACATCAAGATTGGAGGGAGACTCATCAATAATCTGCATTATGCAGATGACACAACCTTACTCACTGAAAGTGAGGAGAACTTGAAACACTTGTTACAGAAGCCTTCAATATGGATTGTGTCTCAGTGTCAAGAAAACAGATTCTTATCACTATATTAGTAGGCGGCTTTATGATGAATGGAGAGGATATTGAAACTGTCAACAGCTTCATCTTACTTGGATCCACACTTAACACCGTTGGTATGAGCATTCAGGAAATGAGACACTGGGAAAATCTGCAGCTAGGGAACTTTCCAAATTATTGAGGAGTAGTGATATCAGTTTGAGGACTAAGGTGTGTCTGATTCAGGGCATAGTCCTTCAGATTACTAGCTATGCATCTGAGAGCTGGACAGTGAATAAGGATGACACCTTTGAGCCGTGGTGTTGGAGAACATCTCATGAACATCTCATGAACATCTCATGAACATCTCATGAACATCTCATTGAACATCTCATTGAACATCTCATTGAACAGCCAAGAGAATGAACAGATCTGTCTTGGAGAGGGTGCAGCTGGAGTGCTCTTTCGAGGCAAGAATGATTGGGCTTTACCTCACATATTTTGGACATGTTGCTAGTGCTGTTCCTTGGAGAGGGACATGATGTTGGAAAGGGTGGTGGGTTGGTGACCTAGAGGAACACTCTCAACCAGGTGGATTGACACAATGACTGCTGCAATGGGCTCTTGTGTGTCAGGAAGTTTGAGGATAGCGCAGGACAGAACAGGGTTCAGATATTTTGTTCATAGGGTCGCTATGAGTCTTGTTTGCACCTAACAACAATAGTTATGATTATTGTGTTAATTCAACCAGCACCATTATCAGTTTCCAGATTTTCCTGTCACCTTATCAGAAGCACAGTTCCCTAAGCAGTTCCTGCAGACCTTTTGCATCAGACCATTAGAAAGTGAATTTCAGGCAGCAAGACAGGATTGAGTTTTGACCTCTACCCACAGAAAGGACTTCAGAACTATTCTTACCCTCACCCTTCATGTCCCTGGCTGCCAGTGGAGGCAGAGAGATTAGGAGCTCACATCCTGTTTCACCACCTTTGAAGTGATGCCGAGGTGAGAGTTCTCTACTTCAGAGTCACCCCAAGGTCAAGTTCCCCCAGTTCACTGATAACAGCAGCTCATTGAGGGTTGTTGGCATGCTGTGGAGCCACTTGCGGCTGTTTGTTGAAATGCTGCCTGTGATAAAGCCTGGAGGAGTCCTGATGTCAGGGATTGCCTTTACTATGAATGACTGACTAGCTCAGGGCTATGTAGAGGGAGGTGTATTGTTTCATTATTTGTATGAGTGGCAGTTCCGCATAGTTCTCTGGGGCAAAGACAGCAGATCACATCCCCCTCTTGTGTTGGGAGTTCCCTAGCATAGGATGCAATGCTGTATTCATCTCTCCATCCCCAGCCCCCAGCACAGGAACCCAGATATAGTAGACCCTCTGTGTGGATTTCTAGCTGTGATTGAATAATGAATGGGACCCTCCCTGGCACAAGAACTCAGTCCTCAAAAGTGGGGTGCCACATCTTCCTTTGAACTCTGACATTGAGATCTGGCATTGGGTTAAATTAGCATGTCTTTTTAGCCTGTCTTCTTGGATGTGGTTAGGAAGCCTGGGTCAGCCCAAGAGCCCAATGAGGAGGTGAAGGATACTTGGAGGGTTCGGCCCATGGGCACAGCTTCTCACAGTAGTTGTTAGGGGGTTGGATAACAGACTGGAACTTTCCAGAAATGCAGCTGCTTCATATGTGTGCCGAGGCGTGGATGGGTCCGGCTCTGGCAAAGCCTCTTGTGCAGAAAGTAAATGATGTGCTATGCCTGGATGGACAGCCCACCACCTGGGAGTTCTAGCTTATAGGACCCTGAGAGACAGCTTTCAGGTCCTGGGGGGAACTGGGGTAGACTGAGCATGGGTGCTGAGGGTTGTGGCCCAGTACAAGTTGGGGTACACTGACCAGAGATCTTTGCATCTTAGAGCAAAAGGTGGGGAGCAAACTTGTTAGGTTGCGGCCTAAAGCCAGAGATTTGGTTTTATGAAAAGGAAAGTACACAGTTCACAGTGCCAACTTCTTTGAGGACTTTGCCTCCCTTGCCTTTGTCTGTGGTCTCAAGTAACTTAAATTTTTCACGTTGAGTGCCCCCAAGCAGAGAGGTTTTGGAAGCAAGCTCCATGTCCTACCACAGAGCCTTTAGAGTATAATGGGGCCCTCAAGTCCATTTCAACCCATGACGGGCCCTATACGTGCCAGAGTAGAACTGTACTTAGAGGATTTCCAGGGGCTCATTTTGGGATGTAGATTGCCAGGACATTCTTCCGAGGCACCACGAGGTAGACATGAACTGCCACTCCTGGTTAGCAGCCAAGTGCACACCCTGTGTGCAAGGCCCTTGGAGCCCAGCTAGGGGAACAGCTCCTTCACTGAATTGTTGCGGGTGCAAATGCCCGTAGTGAGCTCCGGAGGAGAAGGGACTCTCTCTGACCCATCCTCCTTCAGCTGCTCGGTACTGTCGTATTTGTGGGTGTGTGTACGTGTCTGAGATCTCAGAAGCACGTAGGAGGGATAATAAAAATGTCCTGTTGTCAGTGAAGGCTTCCTGAAATGCATTGTGGTCACAAGTCAGAGGTTCTGTGCTTCACATATAGACATTTAATTAAGGAGGGTCTCAAAGGAAACCTTAAAACGCTGCAGGCCCTATATGTACAACCCGGAAGAGCTCTTTCTCTTCCTTTTTTGGTTCCTTGAGGTAGAGGGAATTTCCTGTTTCTGATATCTGGTAAGCAGAAAGAAGGAGGCTTGGTGGCAATGTGCTTCATTAAGCACCCGCCCTCTTCTCCAGGAGGGAAGAGTTGGCCATCTGCTCCTGTAAGGGTCCCCTCTCTCCCTGACTGCTGTCGAACTGCTGTTGTGACTCACAGCAACCCTCCACTCGGTTCCTGAGGCTGTAAATCATAACGGAGCTGACTGCCCACCATGCTCCCTTGGAGCCGCTGGTGGATGTGAGCTGCTGGAGATGCAGCTCCTAACAGACCACACCCCCGAAGCCCTTCCTACCTCCCAGAAAGATTCCAGCCATGAACACACAGGAGGCAACTCTGTAGGCTCGCTGTGAGCCAGAATCAAGTCTGCAGCAAAGAGTTTGGGAATGAAAACCTACTTGCTTTTGTGAGATGCATGAACTTACCAACAGGGGGTTTGTCCCTGTTCATCCTTGGTAAGAGAAGAAATCACATCCAAGGGGGAAAAGCCTGCTACTGGAGGCCTGGGTGGCCTTGACATCTGGCCCACAAGGACCTAGAGGGAGAATTGGGAAGGGTCAGACATGCATTGGCTGAAATAACCAGTTATTCATGGCCTTAAAGATTCCCAAGATCTCTCGTGGTGCCAGGGCCAGCTCTCAGCCCTGTTGGAGTCGGTCTGTGGAGGTTGTAGCAGGAAATGCATGCCAGAAGATGAGGCAGGTTTTGTGTACGGTCCTAACACATCTTCCCCACTCCATGGATTCAACTAGATGGTGTTTCCCCCCGCCCTTGGCTTTCCCATCACTCCCAATTCTTTATTGCAAAAAGAATATGAGAAAATATACATAGACCCTTTCAACATTTGGTCAGCTCTAGCTTTCAGCAGGGGCTGAATTCCAGCAATCCCCTTGGCCTCCTGTGGGGAGAATAGGGTCTTGATCCTGTCACCTTTGCCCTATTTTCTTTTCCTTTCACGTCCTCTTAAGTTAGGTCCCCAGAGTTGAAGTGAGGTGGATCTTAATTGGCTGAGACAGCCATGGGCTTTCCTGGAGGCTTGAGTTGGAGGGAAGGGATGCAGTCAGCCAGGCAGAGAGGAAACAAGCAGCTAGAGGGCCTGGCATGGCTGAGCAGGACAGCAGGCACACATGCCCACACAGGGGACCCCCCACACTCACAGGCGTATCTGCCTTTACACTTAGAGCTTTTCTGGCCTTGACAAAGATACGGGAGCTGAGATACCATCTGATGGATGGTCTTAGAATAGTCCAAGGTGAATTCTTTTTTTAAAAATTATTTTAATGAACATATACAAAGATTTTGGATTTCCATTCATTGTTGCATTTTTCTCCCTGCCCCCCCACCCCAGTTCACTTCTCTCTCTTTTTTTTTAAATTTTAATGAGTATTTACAGAGATTCAAGGTTTTCATTCATTCATTGTTGCACTATTTTCTCTACCCTCCTCTCCAGTTCGTTCTTTTTCCCTCCCCCCCCCCGAAAGTCTTTTAATTGTCCAATTGCCACAGTGCTTATCAAAGTCAGTTCTGATTAATCTCCTTTATTAGTTTTAATGAACATTTACAGAGATTGTTTTCATTCATTCATTCATTGTTGCACTATTTTCTCTACCCTCCTCCCCAGTTCGTTCTTTTTCCCTCCCCACCCCCGAAAGTCTTTTAATTGTCCAATTGCCACAGTGCTTGTCAAAGTCAGTTCTGATTAATCTCCTTTGTCAGTGTGTCCTTTGCCATTCCCTATCACTCCTCCCTGAGAGAGACTTCACCCTGATTCATAGGGAAAAGGCGACGGCGTATTCTTAGCTACTTCCTGTAAAGACGCTGTAGGTTTCTTGTAGGTTTGTGTTCTAGTGGTCCCTAACTGCTTTTCAGGATATGAAAAGAATGATTGTGTTACTAAAGGTCTCCAGCGCCTGTTGCTTCACTCATAGCTGAGCTGGGTGTGTGTTGGCTGTGGGAGGTTAGAGAGGGGAGCAGCATTGGTTTGGGTGACATGGTGAAGCATCCAGCACTGTGGTCCAGAGGTGTTCACACTGGGGCCCATGGATTCACCAGTGCCATGGGTATCTCTCCTGGAATATGACTCAGTGGTTGACCTCCTCCTCCTCTTCCTCATTGTTTTGAGATGGAAACCAAGATGTGCATAAAGGCACATCAACCCAACTCATCTCAACTTACTGTCATCAAGTCGGAACCAACTCATAGCTGATCTTCCAGAGGCTGTAATGGCACAGGAGGAGGTTGCCCATCTTTCTACCATGGAACAGCTGGTGGGTTCAGACTAGCAGTGTGACTCCCTGCCCATTAGACCATCAGAGTTCCCTTTATTGTTCCTGTTATTGTGTTGTTGGATGCTGTCAAGTCAGAACCGACTGTAGCAGACCCTTCAGTGGTTATACATCTTATAGGAGGAAATTACCCTTTCTTCTCCTGCAGATCAGCTGGTGGATTCAAACCATGGACCTTTGGGATTGCAGTGCAGCTTCTTACCACTAGGGCACTATTGGCCTCTCCTTAAATTGTGGTGGTTTTTTTTTTTGTTGTGGTGTTTTTTATTTATTTTTGTCTCAGAATGGGGTTTATTGGGGAAGTAAGTTGGAGGTTGGGGGAGGCAAAGAATATCTCACAGTACAAGTCCAAGTTTATCCCTATTTTTAGCAGCGCCTATTTTATATGGCCTAGGGAGCTCTGGTGGCCTAGCGGCAAGAGGCTGTACTGCAATCCCCCAGGCAAACAGTTTGAATCCACCAGCTGCTCTTTGAGAGGAGGCTGGGCAGTCTTCTCCCATGCAATTATTTGCCTCTGAAGACCTGCTGAGGGGTCAGCTATAGGTTGATTCTGACTCTATTGTACACAACAACAATAGTGTTAAGAATTTGTGCAGCAATCCCAAAGGCACACAGTTCAAATCCACCAGCTGTTCTGTGGGAGAAGGATGGGAAATCTCCTCCTGTGAGATTTATTTACCGCCTCTGAAACCCCACTGTGGGTCGGTTCTGACTTCACAGCACACAACAACAACAACAGTTTTATATGGAATCACTGGTTTGTATGAATAACTCCTAACCAAGCAATTAGAGGTTTAATTCCACCCGGAGGCAGCTCGCAAGAAAAGCCTGGTGACTTACTTCCCAAAATCCACAGTTCTACTCTGATACTCACAGGTTGTCGTGAGCTGGTATCAGCTTCACAGCAACTGCTTCATTGGTTTCTTTTGTCTCATTTCTCTGTCATTCTTACCATGTGGCTCGAAGCTTAGAGACATTCATCTTTAGTTGCTTTCTAGGTCTGTGGGAGTTGAGGGCTTTGCATCTTTTGGAAGAATGAGAGACCTCAGAGGAACAGGCTTAAATCCTAGGTTAGGGGGATGAGGTCCAGAGGTTAACTCAGTTTTCCTTCTTCCTCCAGGGCAATATGCAGGTTCTGGTGACATATGGTGGGGACTCCATTCCTAAAAGTCCCTTCACCGTGGGTGTTGCTGCTCCCCTGGACCTGAGCAAGATAAAAATCAACGGGCTGGAAAACAGTAAGTGTGCAAACAGGGGAGACAGATAATTGAAGATCCCTTAGCAGGGCCACTGGTCACCTTTGGGAGAAGCAGATTCTGTCTCAAGGTGCTTTGCCACCAGACTGAACTTGGCCATAAATTGGGACCCGGCCATAGAATCGCCCGATGATACTACCTGCCACCTGACTTTGTCTCACCTCACTTTTCTGCAAAGTGGAGGTGGGGGTTGTCAATATCCTTGGTGGGAATATTGTAAAAATCAAGTGAATTCATGGTCTGGCATATGTTATCTGTCTACTGGCATTGTGCGGGAAGTTTTTATTACGAAAAGAAAATGGAACACATTGCTTTTTGGTGAGTCTCGACAGAGCCAGTCATCCTTGGCCAGCTGATTCACATTAAGGTTGACAGGCAAATAAAAGTTACTTCCTTGGCATGCAGAAACTGTAGTGCACCCCACCCACCCTGCTATTTCCTTAGCTTGTATTAGGTATCTTATTAGCAAAAGTTCATGTATTTCCCCCCTCTGATATACAAACCCAAACCCAAAAAACCGCAAGGGCATAATATTTAATAAGACAAGTGCTTGTAAAACTGCTGAAGTCTAAACATATTATTATGAGCTATTAACATTCAAATCCAGCCCAAAAACAAAGTTCTGAAGGCAAGAAGCACAGGGAGGAGGGTGAATGAAAATTGGAACACAGCAAAGAAGTTGGAAGTGTTCTGTCTGTTACATTGAGGGAATTGCCGCTCATGTCACGTAACAGAATATTTATCAATTAGGGAAAAGGAAAGTAATTTTTTCATTAAGCATTTGTCCAAACCACAGTAAAATGTTTTTACAGAATTCAAGTTTAAGGGCTTCAATTTGTGTTTCTTTACATTTGGAAATGAGTTACTAAAAAGTAACTCACAGCCACTGTGGAAAGCAGTGTGGTGCTTTCTCAAAAATTTGGAAATAGTAATACCATTTGACCTAGCAGTTCCACTACTGGGAATGTACCCTAAAGAAACTAGAGCCACAATACACAAACAGATGGGTATACACTCATGTTTAATGCTGTATATTCACAGGAGCAAAAATATGGAGGCAATCCAAGTGACCATCAACAAACAAAGTTGATGGAAAAGCTATTATACATTCACACAGTGGAATATTATGCAGCACAGATAAAGCATGAATTCATACAACATAACACAACATAGGGGAATCTGGAGGACATTATGCTGAGTGAAATATCTATCACAAAAGGACAAACACTGCATAACACTGCTATCACAAATTAGGACAGACATGAGAGGTTGAGGAGAGAATGGGAAAAGAGTGTATAGAAAATTATTATTGCATTAGCTTAGCTGAGGAGAAGAACCACCCAAAAGGAATATATGATTAGGCATTAAATGTATGACAACAATCTGGAATAAAGGGTGCATTGCGAGATGAGCTGGGGGAAGGGAGGAAGAAAAAGTAATAAATATTAAAAAAGAAAATGTCATTGTTCCAGCTCATCAAAACGGGCCCATAACGGATCCTTCTGCGGATTTGCAAAGGCAGTCAAGTGTGTGGGAAGAGATTTCCCATTTTTCTTCCGCAGAATAGCCTCAGGTATTTGGATTAACAGCACAGGTCTTTACCACTCGGCCACCAGAGTAGTAGTTGGGTGCCGTTAAGTTCGAACTCCAGCAGGTTTTCGGAGATGGTAAATTACACAGGAGGAGATTGCCCATCCTTCTCCCTAAGGGCTGCTGGTGGTTTTGACCTGCATGCCTTTGGGATAGCAGTACAGCTTGGAGGAGCCAATAAATGATACACACGATGAACAGAAATAATGAATTCTTTCAGCTTTCTGATGGACTGTTATGTATTCAGAATTTTCTCATCTTCATCATCTCACCTTCCTGTTCCGGTTTTTCAGTGTTGGATTTGCATGTAAAGTGTCTGAGTATATTATTATTGAAAAATATTTTTTCTTAAGTCAGTTGCCCAATTTTTTTTATTTATTTTTTTTATTATTAAATTTTATTAGTTTTAATGAACATTTACAGAGATTTTGGGTTTTCATTCATTCATTGTTGCACCTCTGGGATTGCAGTGCAGTTTCCTGCCACTAGGCCACCAGAGCTTGCCTTGAGTTAGTTTTTCACTTGGATTTGTTCCTCTCTCCCAGGAGTCGAAGTTGGAAAGGATCAAGAGTTTGCCATTGACACGAAAGGAGCTGGGGGCCAGGGGAAGCTGGACGTGACCATCCTGAGCCCCGCTAGGAAGGTTGTACCATGCCTGGTGACACCTGTGACAGGTCGGGACAGCAGCACGGCCAAGTTCATCCCTCGGGAGGAGGGACTCTACGCCATCGACGTGACCTACGATGGACATCCTGTGCCCGGGAGTCCCTACACATTGGAGGCCACCCTGCCACCAGACCCCAGCAAGGTCAGACCCATGATCTGGGGCAACGGTTGCAGAACTTGTCCCCATTATATTGAACAGAATGATTCTGACTTTTGAAATCTGTTTTGTGATGAAAGTCCATTCTTTATGACTGATGGCAGGTTTATTCTCCTACAGCCCAGTATTTAAAGTAAGAACACGACCCCCTGGGCAGATGGGTCAGACTCCCTGACTTCATCTGTTAGTGTAAATAATGGTGGTCGCTTCAAAGCAGGCTGCAGAGGTTCTCAGGCCCACAGAGCTCAGCTTAAAGAAACAATTAATAAAGATAGTTTGTTTCTTCCAAGTAACCGTGACTACAAGGGTATTGGCCCATTTCTGGTGGTCTGATTGGCACAAAGCCTGTAAATCTGCCTCACTTGTTGAAGCATAGAGGAAAGCTTCATTCCTCCCCGTCTCTGTGAGTGCTCACCCCAGGAAGCTGGTGTGTGAGGCTGGCTGGCAGATCTACTCTGAGCTTTGTGCTTGGAAGCTCAAGGGCTGGGAAGTCAGGGTGGCCTTCAGCATTGATTTATTGCAGTGTAGCTCTGTTTCAGTGACGTGTGTATGTGTCACGGAGACCCTAGGGGAAGGGTTACGCAGTCAGTGGGGCACAGATTCCCATGCTAAGGGCAGTGCTGACAGCACTATGGTGCTGCTACCAGACAGAAGCTGACTTGTTGTTCTGCTTTCTCACACAGGTGAAGGCCCACGGTCCTGGCCTCAAAGGGGGTCTAGTGGGCAAGCCCGCCGAGTTCACCATCGACACCAAAGGCGCCGGCACGGGTGGTCTAGGCCTCACCGTGGAAGGGCCCTGCGAGGCCAAGATCGAATGCTCTGACAATGGGGATGGGACTTGCTCCGTCTCGTACCTTCCCACCAAACCTGGGGAATACTTTGTCAACATCCTCTTTGAAGAAGTCCACATTCCTGGCTCTCCATTTAAAGCCGACATTGAAATGCCTTTTGATCCCTCTAAAGTTGTGGTTTCAGGCCCAGGTCTTGAGCATGGGAAAGTGGGTGAAGCTGGGCTGCTGAGTGTTGACTGTTCAGAAGCGGGGCCCGGGGCCATAGGCCTAGAAGCTGTGTCAGACTCAGGGGCCAAGGCAGAAGTCAGCATTCAGAACAACAAAGATGGCACCTACGCGGTCACCTACGTGCCGCTGGCCGCCGGCATGTACACCTTGACCATGAAGTATGGCGGTGAACTTGTGCCCCACTTCCCTGCCCGGGTCAAGGTTGAGCCCGCAGTGGACACCAGCAGAGTCAAAGTCTTTGGACCAGGCATAGAAGGAAAAGGTGAGTTTCCTGAAAAGAGGAAGGTGGTGGGATTTAAGGACCATCACAGAATCCCAGAGGTCCAGCGAGTGAGGAAAGCTCCCGTGGGGCCTTGTGTCAGGGGCTCTGGGGAGAGATCACCTTGTCCCCAGAAGTGTGGGTGTGATGTGTGGCCAGTTGGCTGGGAATACTCTTGGAAGAGGGTTGTTGATTGTTGTTGTTAATGTGTGACATTGAGTTGGAACTGACTCATAGCTGTAAGTCACATGGGAGGTTATTCCTCCTTCTTCTGTTGTGGAGCTGGTGGATTCGAACTGCGTGCCTTTGGAACTAGGATTTTTGCTTTGGCGAGCCAAACACCTTAGTTGTCATTGAGATTGAACTGAATGTGCTCTGAAGTACTAAGAGCCATGGTCTCTTTGCTTCTGGGTCTGTCATCTGGTGACAGGTCCTTGTTTATGTCATTGCTCTCTAGATGTGTTTCGTGAAGCCACCACCGACTTCACTATCGACTCGAGGCCCCTGACCCAGGTGGGAGGGGACCATATCAAGGCCCACATCGTCAACCCCTCAGGGGCCTCCACGGAGTGCTTTGTCACCGACAATGCTGACGGCACCTACCAGGTGGAGTACACCCCCTTCGAGAAAGGTGAGTGACCCTCCCTTCAGCCTGTGCTTGGCTGCCTCCTCCTGGTGGCTGAGCCGACCCTGCGACATGCACTTAACCTTTCCCAGCAGAGGTGCGCAGGCGCATAGGCATCTGCAGAAGCACCTACCTGCTCCAAGCCTAGCTTGCTGGCCTGTCATGTCACTGCCCAGCCAGGACTTAACCTCCAACTGTCAGAGCAAATTATGGGTGATGGCATAACACAGCGTTGTTTTATGTTATTATTTTACATATTAATTTCTTTCCTGGACATTAGAAATAGTAAGGCATTTGAATGCCACAGAGGGATGGAAAGAAAATAAAAATGAAAGCACCCTATAGTCCCATTCCCTAGATAGAATGTCCCTGGTAATATCCTGATGTAAATATTGTCACTCTTTGAAGCTGCACATCCCTTTTTTTATATCATGGTTTCTCTCTGTTCCCAAGTTAGGATGGTACATTTCATGTGGACTGACTTGAATAGAAAATGAGTGATAGTTGCTTCCTGAAAGGGCTGGGTTATATGACTACTAGGTGATCAGAGAGCATAAACAGAGGGTGTCTTTTCTAAAGATTAGAGAAGGCCAACCTGACTAGCTTTCAGTATGCTCTTTCAAATAACATATTGTACACAGACTTGATTACAAACCCCAGAGTAAAATGTCATTTTCCACAAATAGGTGACTCAAGTGTAAACAGATATTCTTTGTTTTAAACAGGTCTCCATGTAGTAGAGGTGACATATGACGATGTGCCTGTTGCAAACAGTCCCTTCAAAGTGGCTGTAACTGAAGGCTGCCAGCCATCCCGTGTTCAAGCCCAGGGACCTGGATTGAAAGAGGCCTTCACCCATAAACCCAATGTCTTCACTGTAGTTACCAGGTAGGCCAGGCCATGGGCTATCTGAGATTAATCTTTTCGCCTTAGAGATGTTTTGTGAGTGTATTCTATGGATGTGTGGTCGACCCAAAGTTGGTAAGAGACACTTTTCTTTTATTCTATTATTTTTATGTGAGTGTACCGTCAAATCATATTTGACTGGTACAGGAGGAGAGTGTCCCTCCTTCCCCAGCAGAGCATCTGGTGGATTCGAACCGTGCGCCTCTGGGATTGTAGTTGCAGCTCTTTACCACTAGGCCACCAGAGCTCCCCTAAGAGACACATTTTTTATGATGTAGAAAGCTTTTTGTTCTGTAGAGTCTCATGTTACAGAGAAAGACTCAGTATACCTATGAAGTTCTCAGAAAACACCTGGTAATAGTCATGCAACTCCTTAGCAAAGCAGGACTAGGTAGAAAGACCTTACCTGAGAATGTAGAAATACATCACCAGTCTCCTGCCTAAGTGAAACATGAGTATTCTTATTAAAATTGGTCACAGGATATGTTCCTGCTTTGCACTTGAGGTCTGAGCCAATACAATTAGATAAGAAAAACCAATGAGGGATAGTCAAGGCTGTCTTCACTTCTCTTTCACTACCCACTTACCAGTTCCATGGAAGAGCAGATTTGATGATCTGTTGTCAAACAGATTCAATTGCTGTCAAGTCAGTGTCGTTCTTACAGGACAGAGAAGTACTGCCCCATGGGGTTTGCCAGCTATCAGTATAGAAGCTGCATTTTTCTCCTGTGGAACAACTCACGGGTTCAAATAATTGACCTTTCCATTGGAAACCAAGTGTTTAACCACTGTACCATCACCAGGGCTCCTAAGGGGAGGTTCTACTTGGTTACATCGACACTGTGGGTCGGAATCAGCACACAACATTATCAGCAGCACAGAGAGGAGTGAAGGATGATGTCATTGTAGTTGAGTTGAGTCAACTCAATGGGAGAGTTAGAAAGGGATTTTGAAATGAATGTTACAAATAAGCAATCTGACATGAATCATGTACTGTTGTGCTTGCTTTTCCACCATTTGCAGAGGAGCGGGAATCGGTGGGCTCGGCATAACCGTTGAGGGACCTTCAGAGTCGAAGATAAACTGCAGGGACAACAAAGATGGCAGCTGCAGTGCAGAATACATCCCCTTTGCTCCTGGAGACTATGACGTCAACATCACCTATGGAGGCGCACACATCCCAGGTGAGCCACGCCTCAGAGAGGAGCTCAGAGGATATTTTTTTTAGTATTTTGTATTGGTTTCTATATAATAATTTTACATTATGTTTCATTCATATACATGTGTTTTATACAATCATTCCTATACCTTCTATTTTACATTATTTTATAATTGGTTTGCTTACAAAGTTTACATATATACATTGTGTTTCACGCTATTCTTTATTCACATTGTGTTTCATACACTCATTCTCATGCATTATGTTTTATAGAATTATCATCAGACCTTGCCCATTATTACCTGGTCTTTTCACCCAGATCCTTCCCATTTGCTTCCCCCTGTTCCTTCACCCTATAATATTTTTGCATGAGAGCTCACTTGATTTTGCTCATCTCCCTCTAAGGCAGAAAATCCATCTAATATTCATAGTAAGTAGTAACTGCAAAACGAGAATTTGCCTGAGGCCTGTACTTCTGAGAATATTCCAGCTCCCATTAGGACCATTAACATTTGAAACACAAAGTTTATTAGTACTAAAAAAAAAAAAAAACACAAACAAAAAAAGAACCCAAACAATATGCTTTAGAATATTGACTAGAAATAGTTGTATATGTATTGAAGGACTGCTTTTTAATTTGAGGGAAAGCTGATTGTTTACCATGTTGAAAATCTATGTGTAGTTTGTAGTCATTTCTTTGATGTTTATGCTCTCTGATCACCTAGGAGATCCTCTCTCCTTTTTTTTCCATTGGCAATCGTAGTCCCTGATAAAGACTCACAAACAAATTCTTACCTTTATATTTTTCTTCGGTTTAATGATGAATTGAATGCTGACTGCAAAAGTATGTTGACCTCAGCACCACTAACATTTGGGGTGTGGTGATTCCTTATGTCAGGGTCCTGGCCTGTGCATTCAAGGCCCTGTGCTGCAGCCCTGACTTCTAGTACTAGATCCTGGAGCACCCTGCAGTGACAAGCAAAAGTGGCGCCAGACATTGCAGGTCTCTTTTTTTTGGGAGGGGGGCGGGGGATTGCCCCTAGATGAGAATCACAGATATAAATTCAAACAGTGAAGGTACAAAAAGGACCTTCCAGCTTTCCCCTCCAGGGAGGGAGAAGCTCTCCAGGTTCTCATTCTCTTCTGTTTATTGAATTAACTGGTTGCCACCCAGCAGGTCCAAGGATGCTAGAGCTGTTTGTTCTTAGTCACCTTATACCTTGTCTCAGGTGTGGCAAGAAAAAGGACAGCTTCACCCTGTGGCAGGAAGTGTTTTGGGTGGATCTGTGTTGTTCTGCCCCAGAGGCCATAAACCGGCCCAGGGTGGAGAGGGGAGGACAAAGGTGAAGGGACCTGTATGTGGGTTTCTGATGCTGGCTTCACGTTCTCTGTGTTCTTTCTCCCTGTGTTCTTTCTCCCTTACCGAATACAAATGTACACATACTTTCCACTCTCTCTCCGCTTCACACACACACACACACACACACACACACACACACACACACACACACACACACACACTCTCTGGCCAGGAAGCATTGACATTCCTTGCAAATGAATTCTGCTCAAATGTTCATTTTAGCCTCAAATGTTCATTTTAGCCTCAGTCGATGTAAAGTGACTTGTTTATCATCAAACTTGTCCTTGCAACTCATTCAAAATACATTTTAAAAATTTCTGTAATCACTAGGGAACTCTGATGGCCTAATGGTGTGGAGTTGCACTGCAATCCAAAAGGCACTGATGCCACTAAGGAGGCCCCTTAACAAAGCTGCTTTAAACTTTCAAAGAAACAAAAAACCCCAAAACCGAAGGGCACTCTGCTCGAATCCACCAGCTGTTCCACACAGTCTCCTCCTGTGTGATTTACAGCCTATGAAAACCCACTGGAGGGTCAACTATGAGTCTGGGCCAACTTGACGGCGCACAACAACAACATAATCACTGCTCACTGTTGTTAAGTCTCTTCCAACTCATGGTGACCCTGCAGAACAGCATAGAACTGCCTCATAGAGGTTTCAAGGCTGCCAGTCTTAATGGAAGTCAACTGTCACTTGTCTAAAATAGTTTAGACAAAATAATAAAATAGCACATGGGTTTGAACTGATGACCGTTTGTTTATCCACACAATGTTTAACCCACTACACCACTAGCACTCCTTTGTGGTGTACTGTCACGTTGGAATCAGCCCATCATAGCTGACCCTCTGCCGGGTTTTCAGAAGGGGTGAATTGTACACGGGGGGAGAGTGTTCGTCCTCCTCCTGTGGAGCTGCTGGTAGATTCGAACTGTGTACCTTTGGGATTGCAACGTAGATTCTTAACATTTGGCCACCAGAGCTCTCTTTAACGATTAATTCAGTTGTGAACAAGACAAAGCTCATTTCCTCCGGGAGCCCACTGCCTGATAAACTATGCAAGCAAAACCTGTGAAAACGGCACTGAAAATAGTGGGAGGATCGAGCGGCAGGTGTTTTGGAGAAATGTTCAACCCTGGAGCACTTGGACGAGGAGGGTGGGGCGCTCGAGCGAGTGATTGGAAGGGGAGCTGTTCTGAGGGGAGCTGACGTGGTTTGGAGACAGGCATCTCTCTTGGTTGTGGAGGAAGCAGAACCGTTTTGACTCTACCAGGAATATCTGCTGGATCCTGTCAGCCCAGGAATTCCCCTTCCCACTTGAGGACGTGGATCCCTTTGGCTGACCCACCAGCTTGAGGCAGATGGCTTTCTTCAAACACAACAACAGGAGACCCTTTGAGTGTTAGACTCTATTGTCTTGTGTGAGACTGCCAGCTCCTGAACCAGAACTTTCCCAGGCTGTGTATTTCAATAGCCTGTTGGTTGTGTTCGTATCAGGTGTCATAGCTGAGGTAGCTGGTGAGGTGTTCCTGTGAAGCATTTGGTGATCCGATAGCTTCCAGTTTGCTTTCATAGGGATTATGGATAGTTACATATTAGCCTATTTTCTCCTGGCCTGGTACAAACTAGAACTTGGGTTACTTTTAATAAAGTGCCCTGTCTTACCAGAAATGGCATGTTTATTTCTTTGGTGGGCCAGCCACAGGGAATTGGTGGTGCTACCTAGACCACTGATTGACTGGAACTCAGCCCATAAGGAAGAAGGGGGCAGTCTGTGATTGATTGATGATGTCTTCTAGGGCATACAATGAGGAAGTGGCAGATAATGCATTATCTGCCAGTTTGCCATCTCAGACCTCAATTTGCCTTGCCTTTGTTTATTGACCCATTGAAACCCAACTTTTATTACGATGGAAAGGTCTCTTTCCCTCGTGTAGTGTGTCCTTTTAGGAGCTCTGGTGCCCTAGTGGCAAGAAGCTGTGCTGCAATCCCAAAGGCCCCCAGTTTGAGTCCACTAGCCGCTCCATGGGAGAACCCACTGGAGGGTCTACTGTGAGTCGGTTCCAACTCTATGGTCCAAAGTATAAACTTTCTGAGATTCAGAGCAGAGATATGTGGCAATTGTTAGCTGTTACCAAACTGGCTTCCAACCCTGATGACCCCCATGCATAAGGGAATAGAACCCTGCCTGGCCCTGAGCCCTTGTGAGGATTGGTTATACATAGGGATGTTGTCCATAGGATTTTCATTGGCTGAATTTTGGGAGTAGGCTGCGAGGTCTTTGTTCCTATTGTGGCTTGGTCTGGAGAGATCAGTAACTTGGCCCTCTTTTGTGGGACACAATGAGGGGCGGCTTCGTTGTGACTGGTCTTGGCCTGAGGACAAGGTCTTGGTAGGGTTAGGGTCTGTTCACACTCTATTATAGTCTATTAAGGGAGCTCTGGTGGCTTTGTGGTAAGGAGTTGCACTGCCAACCCAGAGACGTTCAGTTCGAATCTGCCAGCTGCCCTGTGGGAAAAAGATGCGCAGCAGTCTCCTCCCGCGCCACTTATTACCTCTGAAAACCAGCTGGAGGGTCAGCTAGGAGTTTCGGCTCGATGGTTTATAATAAGAGCAGTCTCTGAAATGAGCTTATGCTGTTGGAAAAATGACTCCAGTGGACCTGCCATTTGTTCAAAATATCATTATCTGTGAAGCTCATTAAAGTGCACTGGAGCTAGTCAGTTTGCCTCTCTGTGTCTGTTACATATCATGTAATGGCTCACAGGTCTCCTCCTCAGAGTTCACAGGTTCCTGGAGGGTTGGGGAGTGTGAACCGCTCTGAGCCCAGCACCCAGCACAGTGTCTGTGCACAGTAGGTGCTCTGTAGTCATAGGGAAGAATGGGTAGTCACACAGATGCACACGCAGCAAGTCAGAAAGCATCACGTGGAATCCAAACAGTCCAGGCCCCGGGTTGGAACAATTGTGTGATTCTGGGAGCACTGGGGACTCTCGTTGGTGGGCTGTACTGAGAGTCCCCTGACCACTTTTCTAGGCAGCCCCTTCAGAGTTCCTGTGAAGGACGTCGTGGATCCCAGCAAGGTCAAGATCGCGGGCCCGGGGCTGGGCTCTGGCGTCCGTGCTCACGTCCTACAGTCCTTCACAGTGGACAGCAGCAAGGCTGGCCTGGCCCCGCTGGAAGTGAGGGTCCTGGGCCCACGAGGTAAGTGTATTTCTTGCCTTCTAGCCTGACCAAGCAGGGATGGCCACGTTCCAGAGCAGACATTTTTGTCCTGAACTTAAATTTCTTTAATGACTTTATTGTTCACTATTTTCGCTAAACAGTAGAAGTTCTGTGTGAAGGTGGGCAGACCTGGCATTTCTCCAGTGGTCTGTGTTTTTCCCCTTTTAAGAATGTTGTTTTGTGCCACTCTTAGAAGGAATTCCCAATCACAGCTGCCCAGTGTGACCCACTGGTGGTCTTGAACCACCAACCTTTCAGTTAGCAGCTAAGAATCATCGGGAATACTTGGTTTAAAAATATAGCCCTAAATGTCTTGACAATATTTTTAAAGTAGCTGGATGGCGCAGTTAGTGCTTGGCCTCTGATACTGCTACAACTCGCCCATTCTTTGTTGGGGTGAGCAAGGTTGGTCTGGATATGGCTAGATGAGTATTCTCTGCCAAATGCTTTGGTGCTACTGGAGAACATGCCCAGAATTGCTGCAAGTGACAGGTACTTGGCCCACATGGCAGGCAGCCTTGTCATTGTCCTCGTTCCTCTCTGGATACACCGTGTCTCTTGGGGAATGGCCCTGTCGTCACCCTGGAATTTGAGTTTGGTAAGGTTAGCAGGCCACTTGGGGACATAGCCGTGAAGTGTGATAAAACATGCCTTTTTTTGGAAAGTGACTACGTTTCCTCTTCCAGCACTGCAAATGTGCTAGTCTCATTTCGTAAATGATCTGGATTTTTTCCCAGTGATGTGTTCGGGGCTTCCTTCTTTGAAGAGGAACCTTCCCCTTAATAGGGTTCAGCAGGAGGTTATGCCCTTTGAAGCTTAGGGTAGAAGTGGCTTGTGGGAAATGAGGTCATGGGGCTGGAATCTAATTCTACGAAGTCACCAAGCTCCACGACCTGGGAATGGACATGAGCGCGTGAGTGTGAGAGAGTAGAGACCCTTTACCTAGATCTCTGCTTTTGTTATAGAGGACTTTCAAGTAACAGCCTTTTAATTTTAGCTGATGAGACGGATTCCCAGTCATGGCACAGCCCCTTGGAAACCGTTTCAGAGTTCTTTAAAGGTGACCCGAAGGGCGATTTTACGGAGACAGGTTTGCATTTCGCTGTTGGCTGCTGCTCTAATTTGTGTAACCTGATTGCCTGTTGCCAGCCCCACCTCTAACATTGCATGGTGCTTACCTCATCTGCTTTGCTGAATAATTTTTTTTTCTTGCTTTGATTAACCTACCTGCACTTGACTCTCACACATAGTCAGAATTGGCTCTGGACTTTACTCATCCAGTGCATGTCTCGATATAATTATCGTTTAACATAATCTCTACCCAGTTAACAGCATCTTTATCATCACCTTTAAGCAGGTGTCACGTTGAGGGCACCTTCACTGTGTCCTAACCCATCCCACCTCATGAGCTCAGCGCCCTCTCCTGCCCTGTACCTGCATGCAGCATGCTAGCCCATTGTGGTCTTTGAGGACCCAAGTCCTGAATGGCCAGCATGTTGGTTAATTCTTGCTCATTTCTGGGTCTGTAGCCCCTTCTTAACTATTAGATAAAATTGCCAAACCCCAAGCATGCCTGACTAGCTTGGAACAGTAATAGTGCGTCTGCAGCATGCGTCTTCACCACACCCCAACACTAACAAGTGCAGACAGTCTCCTTAATTACGCTCGAGGGCAGACCGAGTGCGCTTCAGCCAACAAACAGCTAAATGTGGCTGGGGGTCATTTCTGCAACCATGAATTGGACACCCCGTCTCACTGTGATTCTTTATGATCCTGGCCTGCTTGTCTTGATATTGCTGCTCATCAGTGGAAGCCAGTAGCTCTGGGGACAGAGATGATTGTCTTTCAGACTTTACCCGGGGTGAAATGAAAGGGAAGCCGGGTCAGTACTCAGACCTCTTGTCTCTGTCCTCAGGCCTGGTGGAGCCAGTGAATGTGGTGGACAATGGCGATGGCACACATACAGTGACCTATACCCCATCCCAGGAGGGTCCTTACATGGTCTCTGTCAAATATGCTGATGAAGAAATTCCTCGCAGGTAAGCCCTGGACACTTGGGAAAGGATATCCAACCTTGACTTCAACCCTCCAGGGTTCGCCAATGCTGCTGTGTGGCCTACCCATCCATCTGTCTGTTCATCCATCCATCCATCCATCCATCCATCCATCCATCCATCCATCCAGTCACTGAAAACCTTCATGCTCCCATGACTATTACAGTCCAGGAGTAGTGATATCTGTGTGGCTGTGCTCCCTTCGTGTTCCCCCAACCCTCATTCCTTTCAGCCGTCTTTCATTGAAACCAGCTAACACCCAGCCCACTGACACCATGTTGACTTGGATTCTGAGTGACCCTGCTTGAGTAGAACCACCCAAAAGAATATAGAGATCCTGATGATGTAGATATCTGTGGGAGTAGACTGGTAGATTCAAACCACCAACCTTTTGGTTTATCCCAAAGCTAAACCCATGGCATCACCAGAACTTTTTAAATTGAAAGACAGACTGAAGGAGTTGAGAATCTTTGAAATCTTTGTTTATACTCAAGCCATCTTTTGGTGACTTAACAGGTAGTTTTCCCATTTGGACAACGATCTTTCTTTCTAGAAAAATCCTAGAGAGAGGATAGATACCTAGTGTTGGGACAGCTTGACCATATGGTATCTCTTTTTCTAAAGAAAACGCCGTACTGTTTTCTACCATTTCACTTCACTACTTGAGGATTTGGTTGGCTGTACTCAGGGCAAAGCTAAGTTCATGATTGTAAATTTCTCCTGGAGGAGCTTCAGCTAAACTCACTATCATGTCTGCTGTAGAAAAATCCCCCTTCTGTATGTGTGGGAGAGTTCAACTGGAATAGGATTGACGTGTATTCTGACCAACTGTGTGTATGTCAAGTCCCTTTAAGGTCAAGGTCCTTCCCACATATGATGCCAGCAAAGTGACTGCCAGCGGCCCTGGCATCAGTTCTTATGGTGTGCCCGCCAGTCTCCCCGTGGAGTTCGCTATCGATGCCAGAGATGCTGGTGAAGGCCTTCTTGCGGTTCAGATTACGGTAACTTTTGAGTTATTTTCTAGAAGAGAATAAACAAAAGAACCAGAGAGCATACCTTTAAGCACCAACTTTTTGTAACTCTTGTAAACGTCAATTTGTATTATATCTTTATGATTTTATTTCAAAATGCTTTGAATTGTTCGTTGGATTGGTTTAGACTAAGGTCTGAAATTTATAGTTAATATCAAAAGAAAAGTGGCTTAAGTACATGGGTTATTTTCTCTTCTAAAAGAATCTTCAAAGAATTATATTTGGCACCAAAGTGGCTTCATGGCTCAAGGAAGGAGACTCCATCTCTCTGCTTATCTTTTATAGTATGTGCCTTCTATCCTTAAGATTTCCTCAGAGAGCAAAACGGCTGCCAGTGGCCCAGCCATCATACATGTATGGCATGCCAGAAGGTAGAAAAAGGCAAAGGCAATAGAGTTATCCTCCCAGCTAGCTCAGTCAGTTCTCTTAAACGATTCTATCAGTATTGATAGAATACTTTTTTTTAAATAGAATACTCTTAAACAAATTATTTCTTAAATAGTATTTGTCAGGCCCTCCTAAAACTTTCTTTCATCTCATTTGCCAAAATTGATCGTAGATTATGGGGCCATACCTAATGACAAAGAATGCTAGGAGTTTTTGTATTCTTCCTTCAGTTCATCTAGTTAACAGAGTCCTCTTACTAAAGAGAAAATAAAGAACATAGGGCAGCATGTGATTAAGAACCTCTCTATCTCTATCTCCTTAAATTTCAATGGATTTGGAGCAAAAAACTTGATAGTCACTTGACCAAAAAGTTGTTAAATACTGACTGTGATCACCACTATTGTAAAAGAACACGATCCTGTCTTCCTACCAAAAAAAGAAAAAAGATTGCAAATAGTCCCTTCCCACTAGAGATTGATGTGCCGGGTATGTCCAGATTGTCTGTGAGTGGTTTCTACATCTTGACAGCACCCTCTAAAGACTATTTCTCTGTGACCCGCAGGACCAAGAGGGGAAACCCAAGAGAGCTGTTGTTCAAGACAATAAAGATGGCACCTATGGTGTCACCTATATCCCTGATAAGACTGGACGCTATTCAGTCGGAATCACTTATGGGGGAGACGACATCCCGTTTTCTCCTTACCGCATCCGAGCCACCCAGACAGGGGATGCTAGCAAGTGCCTGGCGACTGGTGAGTTCGGAGGAACAGCAAGGGCGGGAGTCTGGGCTCTGGGGTGAGAAAGCCATGTGCTAGCCCTTTCCTGCCACCTGGTAGCTGTCTGATCAGAACAACTAGTTTGACCACTCCAAGGTGCAATCTGACTTAGATGGAAGATCTTTTGGGGGAACATTTAGATTCATGAAGCTCTTTAAAAGATCAGAGAGTATTCTACAGGGTTATTGCAAAGTTTGTTTGAGGTCAGGCATGAAAACATGCTCAGCCCAGTGCCAGATACATGGTAGCTATTATTAGATTACTTTTGAAGTTGGTACATTTGCTGCGATCTCAGCTGTCTGGGTGAGCCCCAGGAAATGCAGCGCATTTCTGTCATGAGTAGATGGTTTCAAGAGCATTGGGGTTAGCATTGAAGAGACACGTGAAAACATGATCCTAACATTTTTTGCGAATCCCTTTGGCAAGTCTGTGATGCTGCCCAACCAGTTAAAAACACAAATCCCCATCTCTGAAATGAGACAGATTCTCTTTAAACCTGATGTCATCACGCAACCAATTCTAAATGGAAAAGGTCTTTTGACTTTTAGGGCCGAGCTGTAAATTGTTCAGTCTGATCTCTTTTTTTGCCCATTAGTAGCCAAAATGGAGAAATTATAAAATATGGCCAGTCAATACTGCTTAGGCTTGTTTTGCCTGAGGGTTGATGTTGGGCAGGGACATCTTTCTTGCCTAGTTCAACAACCCCTATTCCAGCCCCAGTTCCAGCAGATTCCCATTGGCTGTTCAGGCTTTTGGTCTGTCATTCAAGGTTTTCCATAGACTGTCTCCCATATCATCTCTTTTGTTACTCCCTGCCTGAACAGTGTGGTCTTGGATTTCTTCATTAACAGCCAACTCTAAATGGAGAAGATCTTTTGTTCACCTCATTGTTTCTGTGGAAGATGAAGCTGTCATTCTTGGTGCTTCCATCCATCTCCCTTAGACTCTTAAGAGCCTTAAGAGCGGGAACTTTGCTGTCTTCCTTACTTTTCTGCGTACCTGTTGTTAGGTGCCGTGGAGTCAACTTGCCCTGTCCTCTAATGATCTCTGATATGCTGGAGCCCATTGTTATAATCACTGAGTCCATCTGCCTTTGGGTCTTCCTCTTTCTTTGACCCTCCACCTTTCCTTTTTTTCAAGGTCTGGCCCCTCCTTACCACAGTTTATGACCAAAGTTTATGAGACCAAGTCTCACCATCCCCGCCTCTAAAGAACACTCTGGTGGTACTTCCTTCAAGCCAGACTTCTTTATACCTAATACTTATAATGCCCAGTAGATTTTTGATAGTCACGGTTGACCTTTACCACCCATACCCTGGAATGCTGGTAAACCTAGCCTCACATGTGGTAGGCACTCAGGAGTTTGTGGGTACTTCTTATTTAATAACTGAAGAGATCTTCTTTGAGCAGCACCTTCTCCAAGTTATTTTTGGGGCTCCTTTCTGTGTGGTGGCAGTTAAAAGGCTAATATTTAGCCTTTATTTTATATTTAATATTTAGCGTGATTTGTTCTGAAGTGTCCGTGACTGATAGTCCATTCTCTTCCCCTGCGCTTGTTTCCCTGAAGGTCCTGGAATCGCCCCCACTGTGAAAACCGGTGAGGAGGTGGGCTTCGTGGTCGATGCTAAGACCGCCGGGAAGGGAAAGGTGACCTGCACCGTTCTGACCCCAGACGGCACTGAGGCAGAGGCGGATGTCATTGAGAACCAGGATGGCACCTATGACATCTTCTACACGGCCGTCAAACCAGGCACCTACGTGATCTACGTGCGCTTTGGTGGCGTGGATATTCCCAACAGCCCCTTCACTGTCATGGTAAGACAGAGTCCTCCAGAGCAGGAGGCTATGAGCAGAAATAGTATCAAACACCGCTTACTGAGTTTCATCGTGTTTGAACTTTTTCCTTGGGGAAGACTTGTTTAAAGCATTCTCCACCTTATAGAATACAAGAGCAATCTTTAGATATCCTTTGGCTCAAAGGACTTTGAGAGTCTCTTATTGACCATTCACCATGCTTGGCCTAAACTCATTTCAGAAAGATGTATTTCTATTTTAGGAGGAAAAAGACAGTTTATGCATAAAGCATTACCATTCTTCCCCACCCTCACCCCCGTAGCCATTGCCCATGGCTGAAGGAGAAGGGGTGCTGTTTTGTCTGGGGACTTGAATCTCATATCCCGGGACCCACAGGGCCACTGGTTGTGTTTTGATTGGCAGCACAATATGCTGTGGGCCACGTCACCATAACGCCTCCTCGTATTGTGTTTTTGGAGTGATCACGATTTCACTCGTGACTGGGGAATACCTTGTCTTTTGGAACTAGGAGCATCTGGGAAATGGAAACCGTTATGGAAATACCCTGGTTAGAGTATGACTAGAGCTTTTAATTTTCAATTCTGGATAGCTTTGAGGTCTTCCATCTGATTCTTACTATTTTTAAAAAGAATTCTTTTTGTTGTTGAGAATATCCGCAACAGAACAGACACCAGTTCATTGATTCTCCACGAACAGTTCAGCGATACTGATTACCTTCCTCACTTCCCGAGACCATTCTCACCTTCCTTTCCCAAATGGACATAAACTCATAAGCCCACTAGCATGAGCTCACTTCCACCTACATTTCCTGTTGAGCTGCTGCTGTCTGTTTGATCTCACCCAAATAGTTCTGAGTCTTGTCAGCCGCTTTACAAATGAGGATAACAGCACCCTGGGTCACATGTGGAGATTCAGAGCTGACCTCTGACCCACATCCACTCTGGACAGCCACCGAGCACTGAACCATCTCCCTCACCCAGAGTCTTTTGATGCCAAGGGTGGCTACTATGCTTAACCACAGGACTCATCGGCCTTAATGACCTGGCCCCATGCACAGCCTGCAAACCACCTTCTAATTATTTCACTCTGTGCTGCTGTGGAGAAGGGCAAGCTGACTCCTTTTTAAACAGAAACCTACTGACTCGCCTCCACACAGTCTATAATCTGTTAGAGCTTTCTCTACCCCTTTCCTAGACATTTGTTTATCTGTAAACATTTTGCAAGAGGTCTGGGAGGCCCTTTTACCTCTCAAGTCTATAAACACTTGTCAACTTTTGACATTGTTCACTCGGAAATGTTTTTCTCCTTCGTGGTAGAAACAGAGTTAGAAAGTTTATGTTCTTGTTTACAATTTTAACTTTGTTTATGGCCCATGACAGGTTTATCGACTTGGTTAGAATTGAGCAGGATGGAAGAGCAGCCACTGGGCAGAAGTGCAGTTGGTTGGGTGTTCGAGACCACCCTGGGAGGGTTTGTGCGTACAATCAGTGTAAAATATCAGGGACCATTTTAGCAGGCAAACCAGTGGCCTGATACTCCTCACATGGAATGAATGTAACCTATAGGTAGTGGTGGCTCAGTGGCAGAATTCTTGCCATATGGGAGAACCAAGTTTAGTTCCGGCTGGTTCATCTCACACACAGCCATGACCCGTCTGTCGGTAGAATTCTAAATGCTGCTGTGAGGCTGAACAGGTTTCAGCCACATTTCCAGGCTAAGATGGATTAGGAAGAATGATCTGATGATACACTTGTGGAAACCAGCCAACAAAAACCCTGTGGATCCAAAAAGAACACCCAAACCCTTATGAATCGCTGTAGTCCAGTTCTCTTGCGTATGGAGCTGTTGTGAGTCCGGCCACCAGCAGACCCAGGAGTGCATGAAGCAGGCAGGCTTTGTGTGCATACACGGCCCTGGAACTCTTGCTAGGGCAGACAGGCAAGGCCTGATTCTGGATCGTGCTGATTCTCATAATGAATATGTCCCTAAATAACCCAGATCTGAGAGGGGCCTGAGGTCGAGGGGACAGGCGGGGCTGTTCCTAAATATGGGCACTCACTAAGCTGCCTTTGCAGCTGAAGCCCCCTCTCTACAAATGCCAGAATACACAAAGAGGGTTAAAGTGGGAATACCCCCTAGACGCAGCCATCAGTTCTTGTCGTCGTGGCAAAAGAGGGGGCAGTTGGGGAGTCCTCTCTTTATCGAGTCAGTTGATTGAGGAGTATGAAATCAAGAACTTTTTTTTATTAATAAATTTATTTTAAAAGTTTGAAAACCCTTTACACAGTTTAATCGAGGAAGAAGAGTCCACTTTCCTAGTTCTGTGTTGCAGACATGAGTGGTATTAGTTTTTCTGTTGTACGGCCAACACTTTGGCTTTGTTAACAGTTTCCTCTGAGTGTGCTCTCTTGCCCTTCGCTCCCATCCTTCAGGGTGGATGTGCTCTAGACACCCTCTTGTGTGAGTTCCTGAAACTTAGCCACATCTTCCAGGTTGTGTCAGGGGTCCTACTGTGTGGTTCTCATGAGTCTCTGTCGTTAACAGAGCCCCTGACAGAGTGGTGTTTAGGCGGCTCTAGTTGTGCATTATCACATGTGGCTCTGGTCAGAAATTTTGTCCCCCCTGTGTTCTGGCAGGATTTCTGTGTGCCCCTTTCCTAGCAGGGGGCTTATGGGATCAGAGAGCTCAGAGGTCTGACACAGCTCACTCCGAAGGGTGCTGAGGGTGCACGTGCGAGTGTCCCAGGGAGACCTCCTGGTTAGCAGGAGGAAGCAGCTCTAGAATCTGCTGGGTTGTAGTCGCACCCTCCGATATGATTCCCACCTAATCTCCATTTGCCACCGAGCAGGCCACGGATGGGGAAGTCGCGGTCAAGGCGGAGGCACCGGTAAATGCATGTCCCCCTGGAGGAAAGCCCTGGGTATACTTTTTTCTTTTCTGTGTTGACTCAACCTTCCTTTCAGAAAAGCTCCCTCCTGCTTCTGGGAATCGCTTTAGCTCTCTCGGTGTCCTGGTCATTCATTTCTCCACCCCCTGATCAGCCCATCACCACGGCCCCTGCTTTCTCTGTAATAAGACCCCCTCTGGTGTCACCGTCTGCACTCCGTCAGTCGCCACCCTCGTCATGTCTGTGATCACGCTCAGCACAATTTGTCTCCGTGTGTAAAGAGAGAGATGGACGCTGTCCTTGTCGCACATTCGGTTGCTGTCCAGGGGATGGTCACTGCTGCTGCTCTCTGCCACTTAAATGCACCTTCTTTTCCAGGCCACAGGCAACTAAAACCTTTCCAGGTGGAGCCTCTTGGGACTCACAGACATTGCTGTCTCTCATTCTTCCCCTTTCCCATGGGCATGGTTGGGAATTCTACAGGCAAGTTGCCGAGGGATGTCTAGCAATTGGTCAGCAATTGCTCAAATCCTTCAGGTTCGGCCCTGCACCTGGACCAGCAGACAAAGCCCACACCCCATGGGCAGCCACGGACCCACATCTCGGCTCAGCCAGCCTGCAGAATTCCCAGCCACTCTGCCCCCTGTAGCTTCCCTACTCTGAGGTCCACTGTACCCACTGACCAATGCTTCATGTTTTTAGGTTACTGAAGAAGCGTATGTCCCCGTGAGTGACATGAATGGGCTAGGATTTAAGCCTTTCGACCTGGTCATCCCGTTTGCTGTCCGGAAAGGAGAAATTACCGGTAAGTTATTCTCATGGAATGGAGCCCTGAAGATGTCACCTGTGATATGCTTGACTGCTAACTAGAAGGTTGGCAGTTCAAATCCACCAGAAGGCTCCATGGAAGAAAAATGGACTGTCTCCTTCTGTAAAGAGTTGTGGCCATTCCAACCCCACAGAGAATCATCATGAGTCACAGTTGATGTGTCAGCAGGGGGTTGGGCTGGTGAGCGCTGCCACTCTAAAGCGTGATCTGGTGCTGGGCGGACGTTCCACCAGATTGAGGGTCCTCGACCCACCACGTCCAGCTCTGGACTTAGCGGTTGACTGGGAAATCTTGAGGTTACAGAATGTTCTCTGGGCTTCTCTGAAGCAGCCATTCTTTCATAACTCATGCCACGTTCCTAAGAGGGCCTCAGGCTGCTGTGTTTGGCTTCCTCCTGCCTCCAGCTTCCCGCCTTTTCTTAATCTCCAGCTTCTCCACATCTGGCCGAGACACTGGTCTCTACTGTCAGGAGCTGCTTTCTCTCGCCAGCCCCCCTTCAATGCTGCTTCACTTTGAGTTCTCAGGGGCCTTTCTCCTCTGGTTCTGCTCATTCTGTGGTCTTCTCAAATCCCGTTTGAGCTTCTGATGCCTCAGTTGTCCAGAACCACTGATTTAAATGTTGCCTGCTGTGTTTAATGGAAACTGATGGGAATATGAATGAATGTTTTCCCTGCTTTGGGATCTCGACACTTTGGGCAGCGAAGTCCACTCATGGGTGTGAAACCTTGACTTTGAAGGCATAACACTGTCCCAGCAAAGAGCCCGATGGGCTCACTGTCCTGTCTTTCCACACTCCTAGGGGAGGTCCACATGCCTTCTGGGAAGACGGCCACCCCCGAGATTGTGGACAACAAGGACGGCACAGTCACCGTCAGATACGCCCCCACGGAGGTCGGGCTCCACGAGATGCACATCAAATACATGGGCAGCCACATCCCCGGTGAGTGGACAAGGCCCGCAGTGCAGCAGGACCCTGGCTTAGGGCCTGGACATCTGGGATGTTTTGCTGCTGTGCACGGAGAAAATCTCAGTGGCAGGTTTGGGGAAGCAGTGTCAACCCCCAGCAGGTTCTGTCAGTGTCCTGGGACACAGTATAGGCCCTGAGGGCCAAAGCTGTTTGTCTTTGTCAATGTGCTCTGTGTGCTGTGAGAAAAATGTGAGGGGCGGTGTGGCGTGGGGTTTAGGGTGGGGAGCCTCGGCTGATGGGGAGGTCATGAAGATCAGGGACAAGGACAAACAGCTGGTTGTCACAGAACCCCCACCACAGAAATCCAGCTCCGGATTTGTTCCATCAGCCAGGAGTGTTCTTGTTCTTTATTTTAATGTCTCATTTTTTATGTTAATGTTTTGAGTAAGTAACCATTGTTTAAAACTAGGATGATATATTGAAAGGTTTCTTTCCCATCCATATTCCCATCTGCCCTCTCTTTGAACTCGGCTGTTGTTAATTTTTTCATGTCTCAGTTCAGACTCTCTAAGCCTCTACAAGTAAACAGGAATATAGGGTTTTAACTTTTTTCCTTTTTTAAAGCAAAAATTGTACAGTCTTCCACACATTAAGGAACCCTGGCGGGATGTGGTTAGAACACTTGGTTGTCAACCACAAGGTGGGCAGTTAAAATGCATCAGCCATTCTGCAGGAGAAAGATGTGGCAGTTGACTTCCATAAACATCTGGAGCCTCGGGAACTCTTTAGGGAAATGATCCTCTGTTCTCTAAGGTCACTGCAAGTCAGAATGAATTCAGTGGCAGGGAGCTCTGGTGGCCTAGTGGCAGGAAGCTGCACTGCAATCCCAGAGGTGCGTGGTTCAAATCCACCAGATGCTCTGCTGGAGAAGGACAATCTCCTCCTGTACCAGTCAGATCCGATTTGATGGCACACACACAACAATAATAAAATTTTTAAAAATGAATTAATTCACTGACAGTAAGTTTTATTCTGCACTTTGAGTCTGTGGATAATACAGGCAGCTCATGTCTAGACTAAAGACCAGAAGGCTATCGGTCCAGAGGCCATGAGAAGGAAAGACCTGGGTATTGACTTATGAAAAATCAGCCACTGATAATCAACCTTATGGCATACACACTTCTCCTCTGACCCACATGGGGTTGCAATGAGTTTAAATCAGTTCCGCACCTTTGAATTCTGTGTTCTGTTCTGCTCTTGCCTTTTTTTTTTTTAATTTGTGTGTGTGTACTGTCAAATCAGATCTGACTGGTACAGGAGGAAATTGCCCCTCCTTCCCCGGCAGAGCATCTGGTGGATTCGAACCATGCACCTCTGGGATTGCAGTTCATCTTCTTGCCACTAGGCCACCAGAGCTCCCGCCTTTGCCATTTTTTTATTCCAGCAGACCTTTTCCACATCCACAATAAGACAGCACCATTGTATTGTAGCCTCTCACCTCATGAAGGGCTACACATGTTCCTCTCCTGGAGCACTTTGCTCCCCACTTGCTGCGGTGGAACGTACTTTGTACAGATGTGGTTTTCCCAGAGCAGGAATTGCAGGGCCACAGGCTGCCTGCATTTCTAGTTCTGCTGCATCTTTCCAGGTTACCCTTCATACAGCTTGTTTCAGTTCGCACCGCCCCTTCCATAAAGTTGGAGCGAATCTGTGTCTCTGCAGATTTGCCAGTGGACTAGGCTGTCAAGCGTTTGAGTTTTTGCCGATCTGATAGTTTCACCTTATTTCTCTTATGAGATTGGACAGGTTTCCATATGTTCAAGTGCCATTTGCCTTTTATACTCTACTAACTGAACATGTGAAACCTTAGTCTACTTTTTTCTGTTTTGGTTGTTGATCTGTTTCATATCAGCTTCCAAGAACAATTTAAATACTGGAAAGATTAGTTTATTATGATAGAAGCTGCAAATACTTCACCCAGTTTGATGTTTACTTTGTTTGATGTGTGTATGTGTGTGTAGTATTTGTTTAAATGTAAGGTGTATAATATTTGTTTAAAACAAAATTATATTATCTTCTATTTAAATAGCTAAAAAGATACAGATGTAAAGGGATTTCTCTCCACATTTCCTTTAAATTTCCACATTGTGACTGCATATCTTTTTAAGTTGGGCGGGGGTGTGTGTATGTGGGGGGAGGTGTTTCTGCAAAGATGAATATAATTGTCTTATTTTTGAAGAATGAGTTAATGATCTTAATATTATAGAGAAACTTTTTAAATACAACACCTTATGGATAATGTGAGATTAGTATACACATATCTCCCTTATTCTTTTTAATCACCTGATCACCTCCTGAATAGACCAACATCCGTATAGCCAGCCAAGAGGGCCCTGCGTGGTGCAAAAAGTGAAGTCTTTGACTGCTAAGCAAAAGGTTGGCAGTTCAGATCCACCCTTTAGTGCCTCAGAAAAAATGCCTGGTGATCCACTTCGGAAAGATCACAGCCCTTAGAAACCTATGGAATACAGCTGTCCACTGAAATGCATGAGGTCACCGTGAATTAGAATCAGTTCTCAAAGGCAGCTGGGTAGTTGTCTCCTTATTGGGAACATTATTTGGACACGGAGTTCATCTCCTATTTTGCATATGAACCTTGAAAACGAAAGCCAAATAAATGGCCTTTCCGGAGGCCTTTCCCCCTGGGTTCCCTCTAGTACTGGTGGGTCATTTGTCCACCATGTCCTCCATGTTGATCATCCTGAGCTGAGTTCCCCTGCTCTGTCCCACCTCCCTGTGGGTACACAACTCGCACACTGTTCTTCTTATATAAAGATTGAAGAAGCAGTACCAAGTAGAACTTAGCTCCACCCTCTGGGCCATTTTATCCTCTTCCTTGGCGGAAAACACTCCAGGCCTGCCTGCTGAGAGGTCAGTGTTATGATACTGTGTCCATGGGGTCTGGTCATGTCTTAACAAGTCGCCATGTTGTCTGTGTCCTTTGCGAATTCAGAGAGCCCGCTCCAGTTCTACGTGAACTACCCCAACAGCGGAAGCGTGTCCGCCTACGGCCCAGGCCTGGTGTATGGAGTGGCCAACAAGACCGCCACCTTCACCATTGTCACCGAGGATGCGGGAGAAGGTATGTGTAGTTAATGTACCTCTGTTAACTCCCAGCCGTCTGCTTGGCGAACAAAGTGGAAATAATTCTAGGGCAGCTTTTAAGAATAAGACTAACTGATGGTAAACACTGTGACACTGATGTGCCAAATGTGATGATGGTTGCCCATGGTGGACAGTGTTTGGTGGAGCTTTCCAATTAAAACAAGCTTGGAAGCAGGAGGGGCATCCACTTCCGAAATGGCTTGCCTCCAGAAACTCTATGAACAGTGCTCAGGCCTTTCGTTCATAGGGTCACTAGGAGTTGTTGACTCAACGGCACCTAACAGCAAACAACAGCAACACATACTAGTGTATGTCTTACCTATTTCCCCCGTGTGAATCTGTCTCTTGAGGAAAACTTCTGTCTTCCATACCAAACAAATCCTTGAAGGCCTTCAGGTCCTGATTAAAATCACATTCATGTGAAGAAATCTCATTCTTGCCAGGTTACCCTTCATACAGCTTGTTTCTGTTCACACCGTGACTGGCAGGAAATTTAGATGTTACAAGGTTGACAATGATTGTGTTTTGCTCTTGTTTACACAGGTCCATGTGAGTTACTTAGAGGTCTAGCTTAGAAAATTGTGCCCTGGTAGCACAGTGGTTAGGCATTTGTCTACTAATTGAAGACAGTGAACACACACCAGCCCCTTCCAGGAATAAGCTATAATAGCCTTAGTAACCCTATGGGACAGCTCTCTTCTGTCCTGCAGGGTAGTATGAGTCACAATTGACTTGACAGCTTGTAGATATGGTTTGGGGGTTACCCTCTATTCCTCCTGTGTTCATTAAATCCAGGCAGCTGCCACTGAGTCAGTTCTGACTCATAACAACCCTTTATGGGCTTCCAAGGCCATACATCTTCCTCAGAGCAACTAGTGGATTTGAACTGCCAGCCTTTTGGATATCAGCCTGGTATTTTACATGCTACTCCACCAGTGTTCCTTTTTTTGTGTTCATGGAGAATTCTAAATCTGTGACTCTAACTGGATTTCCCAGATGGTATAGGGCACCTGACCAATACTGATCATGTGTGACAACCTCCTGTGAGTGCTGGGCTGGAAGGGCTCCTGCCTTTTCTCATTCTGAAGAGTTACTAGAATGCCAGTGAGGAATTCAAACAGTAGAGTGTCTTCCCAGTGGGCGTTGCACACTGCTTGTTGAGATTACTCAAGGTCCCGCCGGTGCCCCTGTGGAATCGGCCTTGCCCAACACCGAGAATACCTGGATGAGTTATTTTCCCAGTTGAAACAAGGATGCTCATTCTCCCTGACCACTTCCTCCATCCTGCCGCTCCCAGGGGGTCTGGACCTGGCTATTGAGGGGCCCTCAAAGGCTGAAATTAGCTGCATTGACAACAAAGACGGGACGTGCACAGTGACCTATCTGCCCACCCTGCCTGGTGACTACAGCATCCTGGTCAAGTACAACGACAAGCACATCCCAGGCAGTCCCTTCACGGCCAAGATCACAGGTGGGTGCCTGGTGTTGTCCCGGGTGGGGATGGTGGCGCCTACATCCTCTCCCTGGCTGGCCAAGGGCAGCAGGTGGGTGCGATTTCAGTTTAGGTGGCTTGGCTTTCCTTGAGCATGCAAATGCCACTTCAGAATGGCTGAATTCATTAGCAGATGATCTAGGGGAAATCAAAAGTTTCCATTTGGGAGGACACTATATTGTGCCACGTCCCTGGTGATGCAAGTGGTTTGTGCTTAACCACTAACTGAAAGGTTGGCAGTTCGAGCTCACCCAGCAATGATGCAGGAGAAGGACCTTGAAGGCTGAGGTCATCAGAGTTAAGATGACAGCCATTGTAACCCCCCCTGGAGTCCAAGTCCACCCTGAGACACATGGGGTTGCTGTGAGTCAAGGTTGACTTGACAGCACCTGGGACTAGTATTGGTACTGTTGTGCCGTTGTGACTCCAGCATCCAGATAGCAGGCTCTCAGAGGCATTCAAGTTCTACATATTGAATGAGGCAGTGAACTCAAGGACCAACAGCATGTCTAGATAGGCTTTCTACTGCCCACTTTACAGATGGTAATGGTGAGGCTTGGAGAAGGTGTCGATGAACCAAGTCTGCATGTGAAAAATCCAGGACCCAGAGCCAAGTCATAGCCCATGTTCCTCATGTGTTTCTACCTGCTGGGTGGGTTCTTTATCAGACCCTCAGTGGGGACACAAGCAAGGTTCCTGCTCTGAGAACTGTGATCCCCAACAGTCCTACATGGAACCCCATATGTGTTTACATAAGAAATGCCCCCGGGGGTGGCAGGCAATGTGAATCCCCTCTTTTAGCCGAGAACCCTTTTGAAAGTCGTCCGTGAGCGTCTGTCTTCCGTTCCTCCATTAACCAGGCATGAATAGAAGTCATTCCTCATTGCTTAGGTCAGCTCAGGCACATTTTTTCGCTTCACTCTGAGTAATTCTGTCTTGCTGGGCAGAATATGATGTGAGGGTGAACGACATGTAACGTGAGCTCTGTTGGGGGGATGTTTCCCAGACGACAGCAGGCGCTGCTCGCAGGTGAAGCTGGGCTCTGCGGCTGACTTCCTCCTCGACATCAGTGAGACTGACCTCAGCACCCTCACGGCC